ACAGAGTTACGCATATGTAGCTGATCGGTAAAAGTCCCACCCACATAAACGGAAGCTGTAATGGAGCTACACAGCTCCTTAAGTCAGAGGAAGTCTTAACGCTCTACGAGCAACTTAGTTCTAAAGAACTAACGACTTTACGAATCAACAAGCTTTATAGCTTCAGGTCCCTGTTCCAGGAGACCTAGCGATTCAGTGAATCGACAGCACTTAGTGCTCAAGAGTAGCTACCTCAAGGAGGTGTCGCTAACTCTTAGTGATCAGAGATCAACGATCAAGACGGCTCGCAAGCCACGTGTCTTTCAGATCAAAATGGGAACTGAATTTATTTTTGTTAAAGTCTATAGAATATCTTAATCCTACTCAAAGATCTTTCGCATCTAATGGCTGACTCTCGTCAGCCCCTACAAACCGATAAGATATTCTATATCACCTTCACAGAAGCGAACCCTCAGGTGTGTAACACCTCTGGTACAAAGTACCATGATTTCGTGCAACCCCGTTACACCCTCCCCCACCAGACTGACGTTTGCCAAAACGTCAATCGAACTCGTGTTCTCAGCGAGAACAGTGCGCGTACGGTGAACCTCACGGTAACGTACGCTCCAGCACGATGTCCTCATCACCAAACGAGTCAAAGGCTCTGTGTGACTACCTCGGAATAGAGGAAGAGGTGGACTATGGTAGCGATACCAGTGTCCGCGGTGACACAGGGACAACGTCCGGCTCACTGATGCCTGAGGCACAACTTTCGAACACCCCAAATCCGTTCGCTGAACGTGGAGGTGCGAGCGCGCCGTCAGCGCAGCATGCAGCATCTGGTTCTGATGAGACTAACATCACAAACCCGCTCGATGAGCAACAACAACTGCTTGTTCAGCAAGAAGAAAACGCTCAGCGTTATGTACAGATGACTGCAACCCTTGAACGCCAGCGTGACTATGTGTTCACCCCACCCAGTGTGGAGGAACGTCTGCGTCAAGCGGCCGGCCAAACATTGGCAACGTGGGTCATTGGCCATGGGCCTAAGACTCCTGAGGAGGTGGTGAGCTGCCAGGCACTTCGTGAGAGGTACCTGGAGCCGCACCTAACGACTCAAAGTCAATACAAGGCACGCCTTGACATGCAAGCACGTGGTGCACCAGTTCCACCGATGAAGGGTATACCCATTCTCCTGCTCGCAGGCGAAACAGCGAGTGAAGAAGACGATGCCTTTGTTCACTGGGTGCACTATGTGCGTCGCCTCAGCAAGATTTTTGCTCTAAGGGCTAGTGCCCATGCGGCGGATGTGCGTCTCGAACGCAAGCTTCGGTACGATTATGCCAAGCTTAAGGCCAATTGCGCAAGCGCACGCGCTATGCTTCGGCTACTAAGGTAGCCGCGAGTGCTGGTCAGTCTGTGACCAACAACCCGCCAACCCGCACCACTAGTGGTGGTGAACGGCCTCGGCCTCGAGCTGACCTTGGCCACGATGCTCAAAAGCCTCCAAAGCATATGGGTAGTCTTGCCGAAGGGGTACCTCAAATTCCCATGAGTTTTCAGGCTCAGGGTATCCACGCCACTTTACCAGATACTGGTATTGGCCCTGACGACGACGTCGTTTCAGTAGTCTCTCGACATGGAAATGACGACACCCATGCTCATCGAGCAAAGTCGGTGGCGGCCGGTGTACCGGTGGAGGCCCACGAGAAATTGGTTCTCGAAGTGAAGGGTCTTCAAGAGGCCTTGGGTAAGTCCCAGTGCATGCTGGATGCGATGCAACGCCGCCTTCAGGCGATGGAGCAAGCTCAAACTCGGAGCGAGGCTCAGTTGGATTTGCTGATTCGCCTACTGCAATCCGGGGCAGTGCCCTTGCCGTCGGTGCAAGCGCCTCCAAGTTCACAAGGGAAATATCTTGGTACGGCTTAAGCAAGCCTTTGTAGAACACTGGATGTGTGCGCAATTTGCGCGAGAGGTTTAGCGTATACGCAAGTCCCTTCTTGGCCGTGACCGTAAACGGTCCAATAAAGCGTGGACGCAACTTAGTCTTAAAGACAGCAGACACTACATTTGTAGGTAGATTTTTAGCATTAAGTAGTACTTGGTTTCCGACCTCATAACGTTCAATACAATTTCTGCCTTTGGCATCAGCTTGTTGTTTTTGGGTATCTTGGCTATCAGCCATTGCGTCACGCACATGTCTTAAGACATTTAATCACGTTGCAAGAAACTCGCCTACCTGTTTTTGAACAGTAGCAGGGCTGATATCAGCAAGCCGATCGGCAACTTCTCCCCCACCAAGCCCTGATGCACGTAGTGATAGCGTTAACGGAACGCGAGGGTGAGTGAGACCGTTTATATAGAACGGAGTAAAGCCTGTTGAGGCATGAACAGCGTTATTCAACGCAAATTCAACAACAGGGAGCATTGAGCTCCAACGCCTAGGCGTATCAGCGCAAACACTGCGCAAAATGTCGTTGATGACGCGGTTTACACGCTCAGTTTGACCGTCGGTCTGCGGATGATCCGCTGTGGACATGTCCAACCGAGTGCCAAGCACCTTGAAGATAGACTTCCAAAACTTCCCAGTGAAGCGGGGGTCGCTATCAGAGATAATTGCCACAGGCAAGCCATGTTGGCGAAAGACACGGTCGATAAACAGCTTTGCTGTACCTTCCGCATCAATGCTATCCGGCACAGCCGCTAAGTGAGCCATTTTGTTTAATCGGTCAACAAAGACCACAATACCAGTGTTGCCTTCCGAATCTTTCGGTAGGCCAAACACAAAATCCATGCTCATGGACTCCCAACAACCACTGGGTACAGGCAAACTAGCCAGCGGCGCCGCCGCATGTGCCGAGGGTTTTACCCGTTGACACGTTTCGCACGTACGCACATAGGTGCGCACCCACTTATAAAGTTTGGGCCACCAATAACTTTGGCTCACCAAGCTATAAGTCTTCTCACGACCGAGATGACCACTTAAAGCAGTATCATGTGCCTCATAGAGGATTCGATACTTTAATTCCTCATCATGAGGTACAACGATACGAGCATTGTCCTCAATATCCGTGCGATAGCACAACAGGCCATTATCAATGGAATATCGATGTAGCCTCGCACGTAAACGTGCCGACAATTCTATGTCCGAGTCTTTAAACTCATTGCTCCCAAGAGCTCGTAGCAAAGCTTCACACTGATCGTCCTTGGCATATGCCGCACGAATTAAGTCAGGGACTGACGACGACAGGGTCGTAACATGAGCAAGCTAATAGTCAGGTCGACGCGATAGCGCATCAGCCAAAGCGTTTTGCTTACCTGGCTTGTACTTCACCTCGAAGTTATGTTCGGCAAAGAAAGAAAGCCAACGAGCCATTCTCTGTGAGAGTTGAGGCGACTGTGTCGCAGTGCGCAATGACGCATGATCGGTATAGATCACAAATGGCTTCGAGCCAAGCAGATGGACTCTGAATTTGACAAGAGCGTACTTCATAGCAAGTAGCTCTTTGTCATGAACAGGATAGTTCTTTTCAGCAGCTTTCAGCTGTCGAGACTCAAATGCGATGACGCGTTCGCGTCCGTCGACATCTGTTTGTAACAGAGCACTGCCTATGGCAAAGTCAGATGCGTCACAGACAACACTGAAAGGCCGACCAGAATCGGGCAAAGCCAATATTGGCGCATGAAGGAGACTCTCCTTAACTGCTTTAAAAGCATTATGTTCGGTGTTACCCCAACACCAACCCACATCCTTTTTAAGGAGATTGGACAATGGCCGAGCCATATCTGCGTAATTTGCACTGTACTTATGTAAGTAATTGGCAAGGCCAAGCCACTTACGCGTCCTTTTGGTTCTTGGGGACTGGCCAATCGACTATAACTTTTACCTTAGCGGGATCCGCTCGAAGGCCTCGCTTCCCAATGAAGCACCCCAGAAAGGGAATCTCTTCTGCACCAAAGATGCACTTCGATGCGTTCGCATACAGCTTATTCGTTCGCATGCACTCGAGCACAGCTCGTAAATGATCAATGTGGTTATCCACATCTGATCGCCCATTCATTGCACGACTATGGACAAAAATGTCATCAAAGTACGTTTGTGCATAGCCTCGATGAGGTCTGAATAGTTGCGTTACCAACCGGTTAAATGTAGCCGGGGCGTTAGATAGCCCTTGCGGCATAACGAGCCACTCCCTAAGCATACCGCTTGGAGTACTCACCGCTGTTAGCGGAATATCACTTGCTCGCATGAGCAGTTGGTAATAACCATCGACTAAGTCGAGTGCACTGTACAGTGTACATCCCGCCATATTGTTCTGAAGAACATCCTTTCTAGGAATAGGCGTCTGCGCCGGTATAGTGGCTGCATTAAGCTTATTGTAAGCATGCAAAATACGCCACTTGCCATTTGGCTTTTTGACACAAAATGTCGGTGTTGAATGGGGAGATTTACTCTCACGAACCATTCCAGCCGCGTGCTTAGCACGAAAGAAATCGTCAATGACGTCGCACTGTTCTTTAGGCAAAGGCCACTGCCGTGTTACACAGTATTTAGTTCCAGGAACCAAGTCAATCTCATGACGTACACCTCTATCTGGAGGTAAGGCAGAAGGTGGGTTGTGACACACCACATCTTGAAATCCTTGACTAAAGGATAGAACGGATCCAAAGGATCTTTAAGGATCGAAGATCCACTTCGTGCACTAAGTGCCGCCTTTGTATCCTCTAGGACAGACTCATCCATTAACGAGGAAGAATTCAACTCAGTATCAGGTCTAATGACCGCTAACTCGGATAATTCTCCTGCCTTAAAGGCCTGGCTAAACTCGCCATCAGACATTTCGTCTAGCTCACACAGAGCGTCCACAGATGGAAGGGTTTCGAGGCTCACGTTGCCATTAACCTGACCAGTCACTCCATTAACAAGTGTATATAGTGTATTGCTAATCTCACGATGTGACTGTGAGGACGCCTGGCGCTTTACAGCTGCTACTCGGCGTCTCGATTGTCTCTTCGAGACCTTACTCCCCCTTAGGGGTCGGGACAATATTGTCCCCATGGTTACTACCAACCATGGTACGCTCTACACGAGAGCTTTTGTCTTGACCGACATTAGGTGTGGTGCCCTCACGGCCGTCCACACTATACGGCGTATCGCCAACAGTGTCATTACTGACGTTAGGTGTGGTGCCCTTACGGCCGCCCACACTATACGGCGTATCGCCAACAATATCATTACTGACATTAGGTGTGGTGCCCTCACGGCCGCCCACACAATGTGGCGAATCGCCAACAACGCCATTACCGGCGTTAAGCGTGGTGCCTTCACGGCCTCCCACACTAAATGGCATATGGCCAACAATGTCATTACCGACATTCAGTACGGTGCTCTCACGGCCGACCGCACTCGGTGTAATTTCACGTGCCACCATACACACATCAAAGGAATCACGTCCTTGATCACTCGGCCCTAGGCCAACCATGCTTTCAGCATGCAGTGACTCGTTATCACAACGAGTACCACTCAACGGAGTACGTGCCGTTTCACTAGTTTTAGACGAGCTAGGCTCGAAACTTATGTTTTTAACATCGGAGTTTGACAACTCGGACATTCCAATATCCAGCACATTGACATCTTCTGTCAAAGGCTCGCGCCAATAGCGCTTCTGCTGCCTAGCAAAGGTGGATTCATGACTCTCCAAAGCTTCGCTAGGAACATTGCGCGTAGCGCCTAAGGTCTTAGACCTCCAATCAATCCATGGCTCATGGCGCTCAAGACAAGCCATACCTAGGATGAGATCATATCTCGAGTCCAAATCTAGGACAAGACAGCGCTCAATACTGTCAAAGTCTAAAAACTTTATACCTAAGTTCAATGGATCTTTAGGCACCGTTACGCGACTTCCAGTCGCTAAACGAACCGTGATAGAATCACCCTCATGCGCTGTAAGCGCCTCAGCATAACGCTGACTTCCCTCAAGGGAACGGCGTCGAGCATAATTGCAAGACGCTCCAGAATCGATCAATATCGACCAAGGCTTCTCGAAACCCTTAATTTTCGCCTCAGCGACCAACAAGCCAGACTTGTATCCACGCACCATACCCGTAGGTTTGGTACTCTTTGGGGCTAAGCCCTGCATTCCTTTACCTTCTAAAGGTGTAACAGAACATAGTTCTTCCCCAGTAGGGCGCCCCGCGCCTACTGGGTGTCGGCATTTCCCCGTGCCATGCCAGACTTCTGACTCGGGCTCGAGTGTTGGCTCGTAGTCTGGCGTTGCTTACGCAAAGGGCAACCAGGCCGCAAGTGTTTAGTGCTTCCGCACGTAAAGCATCGTCTTACAAAGTGTTTCTGCTCAGCAGCTTGAAGCTCAGCTTCCCCTCCATCTTCAGCATAGCTGAGATCCATCGGTTCCGGCCTATTATAGGCAGTGGTACCCGAATAGTTTGCTCTCACAGAGCGAGGATTGCATCCGTTCCAACCAAGTCTGGCCGACTTGAAGTCATGCTCAGCATTAAGGGCAATTCTCACAGCCTCTTCAAACGTAGAGGGGTGAACCCGAAAAACTTCGGTCCTGGCAATGCCAGTACGTAGACCTTCCATGAAGATAGTCACATAGACTGCTTCAGGCAAAGGGTCAGACTGCATTGCAGCCATGAGTGTTCGAAGCTCTTGGACATAGTCCGATAATTCATTCTTACCCTGGCGGGTAGAAAGAAAGCGTGAGCGCACGCGGTAAGCCTGGTTAGGTGGGGAAAACACCTGTACCAATTGTAACTTGAGCGATTCCCATGTGGGAAACGCTACGTCCACCGACGTGCTACACGTCAAGGCCCATTCTCTAGCTCTACCATCGAGCTTCGAGATAGCCAGCGAGACCTGTTGATGGTCAGGCCTGATCTCATGGCCATCTCGATCTCACAAATCCAGAGGATGAGGTTCTCGCCCTCTTTATTAGTGTAGTTTTTCACTTCCACTCTAAGTGGACGAGGCTTAGCCTCTTCGTCTGGTACAGACACGTAGCGTGTAGGCATAGCCGACGCTATTTGGTCTTGGACCTGCCCTAAAAGGGTCGCTTCATACTGCACGAAGCTTTCAACACGTGCATTAAGCACTTCAGGACCTTGTGAAACAAGGAACTCCACGTACTCTGGACCCAAAGATGCGGTCAGCTTATCAAGCGCGACCTTTTGGGCCTCAGATAGGGGAGTGATGTATTCCATCCTCACAGAGGATCAGTCTTAAAGACTCAGGCGTAAATTGACTACGAGTGCTACCAAGTGTAATGGAGCTACACAGCTCCTTAAGTCAGAGGAAGACTTAACGCTCTACGAGCAACTTAGTTCTAAAGAACTAACGACTTTACGAGTCAACAAGCTTTATAGCTTCAGGTCCCTGTTCCAGGGGACCTAGCGATTCAGTGAATCGACAGCACTTAGTGCTCAAGAGTAGCTACCTCAAGGAGGTGTCGCTAACTCTTAGTGATCAGAGATCAACGATCAAGACGGCTCGCAAGCCACGTGTCTTTCAGATCAAAATGGGAACTGAATTTATTTTTGTTAAAGTCTATAGAATATCTTAATCCTACTCAAAGATCTTTCGTATCTAATGGCTGACACTCGTCAGCCCCTACAAACCGATAAGATATTCTATATCACCTTCACAGAAGCGAACCCTCAGGTGTGTAACACCTCTGGTACAAAGTACCATGATTTCGTGCAACCCCGTTTCAGAAGCAGTACGAGCAGAAGCACGAGCAGAGAAGAACAGGCAGACCTGCAGTAGAACAGAGGCATACAAATGTAGCTGATCGGTGATAGTCTCACTCACATAAACGGAAGTAGTACGAGCAGAAGCACGAGCAGAGACGAACAGGCAGAGATGCAGTAGAACAGAGGTATACAAATGTAGCTGATCGGTGAAAGTCTCACTCACATAAACGGAAGCAGTAGGGGCAGAAGCACATGCAGAGACGAACAGGCAGAGATGCAGTAGAACAGAGGCATGCAAATGTAGCTGATCGGTGAAAGTCCCACTCACATCAACGAAAGCAGTACGAGCAGAAGCACGAGCAGAGACGAACAGGCAGAGATGCAGTAGAACAGATGCATGCAAATGTAGCTGATCGGTGACAGTCTCACTCTTAAAAAATGGAAGCAGTAGGGGCAGAAGCACGAGCAAAGAAGAACAGGCAGAGATGCAGTAGAACAGAGGTATGCAAATGTAGGTGATCGGTGAAAGTCCCACTCACATCAACGGAAGCAGTTGTTGTAAGTGCATGATGCACTGGATTCGACTCCAGAGATTCGACCCATGATAGGGTATGTCTAGAACGTTCTTTAGGGTTCTATGCATTATTATAGGTCGTACGGCAGCTAGACGTATGGATAGTTATCACTTGTAAATTGACAAGCCACTAATGAGGCCCCCGGCGGGGGGCCGAAACGCGTCTGGTGCGCGGTAACATACAAGTCATTTACTTTACTTAACTCCTACTTTTTTACAGCAGTAGGGGCAGAAGCACGAGCAGAGAAGAACAGGCAGAGATGCAGCAAACAGAGGTATACAAATGCAGCTGATCGGTGACAATTCCACCACATAAACGGAAGCTGTACGAGCAGAAGCACGAGCAGAAGCACGAGCAGAGACGAACATGCAGAGATGCAGTAGAACAGAGGTATACAAATGCAGCTGATCGGTGACAGTCTCACCCACGTAAACGGAAGCAGAAGGGGCAGATGCACGAGAAGAGAAGAATAGGCAGAGATACAGTAGAACAGAGGTATACAAATGTAGCTGATCGGTGAAAGTCTCACTCACATAAACGGAAGCAGTAGGGGCAGAAGCACGAGCAGAGACGAACAGGCAGAGATGCAGTAGAAGAGAGGCATACAAATGTAGCTGATCGGTGAAAGTCCCACTCACATAAACGGAAGCAGAACGAGCAGAAGCACGAGCGAAGATGAACAGGCAGAGACGTAGTATCACAGAGGTTTGCATCACGTAAGTTGCAGCTGCAGCCCTGAAAGGTGATACACATGGCAGTAATTTGAAATAACGAGCGAATATAAGAAGGACAACGCAAATTCAGATTTTCGGAGGAATACTCGAATAAGGGACCTTTCGCGCATTTGTATACGACACACATTGTCTGTATTGAATTCCGGCCCTGCGGCCACAGCAAGTAGCAATCAAATATTTCTTCAGCTTAAACAGGTATGGCACATCCGATTGGCACGAGGGGCCAGCTCACGCAATGCCAGCCGTTTCTTTTTTTTCGAGTCGCTAGCTATAGAGGTTTGAACTAAAGCTCATTGCGCTATTTGCTCTTAACTGGAAAGATGCGTCTCGACTTTCTACTTCTTCTAATCTCTGCGTCTGCTGACCATGCGCTGTCGATCCGATCGTCTATGGGCCTAGTTGATCCAAGCGCCGTCACTCTCTCGTCTTCGGATTTCAACACTGAAAAAAGAGTCGCTCGTCAACTTCGTCTACGTGAGGTCAAGGAGAACGAGGCCAGAGGTCTCCCCCAAGAACTAGAGTCAATGGTTCGTGTTGCTGTGAACAGCATAATTTCTGAAGAAGATTTCAAGTTTCTCTGCAAACATTTCGAGGATGAACGTCCTCTTGCCATTCTTCTGGACAAACACGGGGCGTCTATGAAGGTAGCTGATCAGTACCGTGATATGTTGGAGAGCCTTGTCCGCCCCGTAGCTTACGATCCACAAGCTAGCCTCTAAGTCATCCGTGGCGTCTGCATCAGTCTGTCATACTTGCAGCAGCTAATCAGCATCAATAACAATATCAGTTGGGTTTTAACTTTTCTCGCGCCTTTTCTTTCCATTCACTAGCCGTCCAAATTGTTCGTGGTGGTAGTGCAGTGTAAAACCAGACATCCTTACAAGTATTCATGTGATTTGGTTGTGTTTCCCTGGTCAAAGATTTAGGGGAAATGTTGAACGTACCGGTCGTGAGTGTGTCATGGTGCCGGCGATTGTGTGGGCCATTAAAAACTACTTTTCCATCAATATCTGTTTTTACCCAGTCTAAATCTGACGAGACCATTCTAATTCTCAATATTTCGTCTTATTCAAATGTTTAATCGTATTTGCTTTTATGTAGGTCGCTGGAATGCGGCCAGATGCTAAAGCTGAGATAATAAAAGAAACGCAGAGAAGTGTGGTTGGACACATTCGAAAATCTCTTGTATATTTTAACTCTTTATGTGCAGTACTATTATTACGGTGCACACAGCATTTGTCAAAGGCGTATTAACGCATTTCCATAAATGTTTATGCGTGTCGTTTTGCTTTCTATTCAAGCTAACGTCTGTCATTGTCCACACACATCAAAGAATCGTCTGTAAATGCCTATTATGTTGCATACCTCAACCTTGATTGCCTTACATCTGGCTGCTTTGACGGATTCGGGTCGTCGTTGTTGTCGTGGTCACTGTGAGTGGCATTTTCTCTGACGAAATTATTG